ACGAAGGGCCGGGAGGCCACAGGGGGCACGACCCGACCCCGGCCGTGCACCGGAGCGGCGCCGCAGCGATGCGCAGAGGCAGGAGGAGGGGAGGGGGGGGAGCCCCGGAGCCGGTGCTCGCCAAGCGGAGGTGCCGCTGGGCCCCTTCCCCGCCGTGACCTTCACTCCCGCCCGCACCGGCGCCGCGGCCCTCACGCAGCGCCCCCCCCCCCCCCCCCCCCCCCCGCTTTCCTGCCTCCCTCCCCGGCGCTCGGCCGCAGCGCAGGGCCAGGCCGTGCCGCCCCCCCCCCCCCCCCCGCGGCAGGCCCGGTGAGCGGGGGCATAGGCAGAGGTTGGTGAAGGGGACCGGGGTGAAGCAGGGGCTCCCCACACTCACTATTCCTTGATGAGCACCATGGCGGAGCCGCACGGGCCGGCCCCGCTGCGAGGTGACAGGCGCCTGCGGGCCGGACCGCACCGCACCGGGACGGGGCCAAGGGGAGGGGGGTGAGGGAAGGGGGGGGGAGCCTGAGGCGGCGGGAGGAGAGGCGGGGCGTTACTGCGGCAACGGCTGCGTCACGGCGCCACGCAGGCGTGCTTACGTCACGGCGTGCGTGGGAGGGCGGCGGGTGTTTACCTCAGGAGGGGGATGAGGGAGCGGGGTCCACTGCCGTAAAGCACACGGTGGTTGGGGGGCCACGGGCAAGGCACTCGGTGCCGAAGGGCTGGTCAATGAGTTAGGTATTAACGGGCACAGCTAGGGGATGAGGCAGGGCTGCAGGCCGAGGGGTGTAAATTGAGCTCTGGAGTCGTCAGTAGGGGAAGGGCATAGGTCTCTTCAAAGGGCAGTAAAAACGGAGCGCTTCTCCGTGAGGGTGAGAGCTGGGGGTGTTCAACGGAGATCTTACAGAGCCATGGAATGGGTTGGGTTGAAGGGACCTTAAAGCTCCTCCAGCTCCAATGCCCCTGCCACGGGCAGGGACACCTTCCACTAGAGCAGCTTGCTCCAAGCCCCAGTGTCCAACCTGGCCTTGAACACTGCCAGGGATGGGGCAGCCACAGCTTCTCTGGGCACCCTGTGCCAGCGCCTCAGCACCCTCACAGGGAGGAATCTGCCCCTGCTCCTCCCTGTTTATTGCGGCTTTTCGGTACTTAAAAGGGTCTTATAAAGATGGCAAGAGCCTTTAGAAGGGCGTTTTTGACAAGGGGTGATGGTTTTAAACTAAAAGATTCAGGCTGGATGTGAGGAAAAAATGCTTTACAATGAGGGTGGTGAAACACTGGCACGGGTTGCCCAGACCATCCCTGGAGCCATTCAAGGCCAGGCTGGATGTGGCAACTCGGTCCAGTTGAAGACAGAGGGATTGGACTAGATGAGGGTAAGGTCCTTTCCAACCCAGGCTATTCTGGTTCCATGAAGAATTCCAGCAACAAGGCTCCACCTTGGCACCAGATCACAACTCGCAGCGTTTTCAAGGCCTTACCCATTTTCATGACTACTCCCAGGCAGCAGCCAGCCCAGCTGTAGTTGGCATTAAGAGTAACCCCAGTTAGTCATGACAACTGCAAACCCCCTTTACAGGGCCTGCACTCAATAAAGAACAACTAACAAGCCCTACCTTTATTACTTTTGTTACTGAAATCACAGGGCAAGGCTTCTCTTTGTGTGATTGGAAACAAAATGCCACATATCCAGTGTGGATAACTGAGGTGATGCTTTCTTGCATCGCTCCTGTAGCATTCCCACCTAGGGTAGAGTTGTTCCTCTTTCACTGTTTGATAGCTATTCACGCTGTGGAACTGAGCTTGAGCTCTTTCCCAACTTGCTGTGTGTATTACTTAACTATGTATTTAAGAGATTACTTTTCTAAGATTAGTTGACATCTGGCTGTTCACACCTAACCTGAGAAGAACCAGTCAAGGGCAACACTCGACACGTCTCATGCCACTGGGCAAATGACACCATGTAAAGCATTCATGCTTCCATAGCCTCATTAAGAACCAAGCAATACCTTTATTACAGGAAAACTAGTGATTAACTTAATACCACCTTTATTTGTAGATATTACTGCAAGAGTGCACATCACCTTACACACACAGAGAGGATGACACAAGCCTGCCACGAGGAGCTTACAGTTCAACTTTGACAAACAGCACATCAACCCTGGGAGCAGGAGGCATTGGGAGAGGCTAAAGCTGGCAGGTTAAAAAGAGAGGGCTTCCTTTAGAAGGGGATTGTCCCAAGAATGAAAAGTGACAGAGTCAGGCACAAAGAAGTGGCAAGCAGCAGGGGGAAGGATGACAACAGGGAGCACAGGACATGGTAAAAACAGATTGCACAGAGACAGGCAGAAAAACAAGGACCTGTAAGGTTTATAATTAACAGGTAAGAATGCAGCTACATAACACGGCATTGTTTCAGCCAGTCCACAGAAGAGAACGTGGTGACATATAAATCAGAAGTGGCTTTTTATTTTTAAGGAAGCAGCCCCTTTCCCATCAGGAATGCTACTGTAATACATATTTCTATTATGAGTACTTTGCACTTCTAAACTGGGAAGTGGGGAATACCAAAAGCTCTGCAGATAATAGAAAAGACTCAAAGAAAACCAAACCAACCCAACAAACAAAACCCTCAACACTTGTCATTTTAAATATTTCATTCTTTTTACCCTACAGTATCTGCTCTATAGTTGTGGCGTATTTTCCAAATTAGCAGCCTGTCAAGAAGGAAATCTCCCACTTTAAAACATGGTAGTGATTTACTGAGTTAAAATCTCGTTATCCTACAGTTTTCCTTTGTAGACGGAGCACGAAGAAGCCAGGCTTTGCTGTGGGAGTTAAGCATTCAATGCCTGGAGCAGCATTGCAGTGAAGTTGGAGTCTCAGCAAGATTTGCCTCTTTTGTGTTTTTGCAGACATCTGTGTCCAGTTTCATCTCACGGATCCTGACTCTCTGTGTCAGCAACTGAATAAAGCTGTAAGTGCCCTATTAAACAGAACAGCACACATTTTCTCTGCTACTCTTGACAGCATCGCTGCTATGAAGACTGTGTCAATGGTACTGACAGATTAGTGAAAGGAATAAGCCGTCACCCTCCCTTCCCCACTCAGTTTAATTCTCAGTTTATTTCCTGTAAGTATGGATACATATTACACACATTTAAAGTCTGTAGAGGCCAGGAGCAGTGTTTCCAAAGGTGCAATCACCCTTACACAGCAACACTCTTGAGTCTGAGGGCTCCTTCTGTGAGCAAGTACACACATACCAGGTCTCTACTTCATTAGCTCTAGCTGGGGATGCTGCTACAGAGGAGACAAGGGCTTTTCCATCATCACACTTTGGTGGCCCATTAATCTTTTTTTCCATAAGGTGGCTCATGCCACATAGAAAAGCACATCAGGAATCATCTTGGTCCCACATCACTTGGCTAAGAAAGCAGCAGTGCCGTTTTCCACTCCAGACTCCAGTAATCCACAATTACACTTCCATAACGGCCAAAGATCAAGGCAGGCTGCCCATGAACAACCACGTGTAACAGGACTATCCGAACAGCATTCACTTCTGCACCATGCAAAACGACATATAGAAGAGGCTGAAGCCACTATGCTCTATCCTCCAATGGGCCCACCCTGCAGGAGGTACAGTATTTAAGCAGTTGTGCCACAGTTGGTGGAGTATTTGCACACCCTGCCCACAGATCCAGGTTTTTGATAGATAAATGTGGGACTGCTCTTTCAAAGTAGTTTGGTTCACAATTATCAGAGTAAATAAAATCCTGCTACATCAGACCAGTTTTTCACCTAGCCCAGCATTTATTTTCTCCATCCTTGACCAATTCTTAAGAGACAGAGCACATAGAAAAAGAATTTTTCCTTGGCATAACTTTCTTATATACAGCAACTAAAAGTCTCCCTGAGTTAACAGATGTATCAGACCACTTTTAACCAGCCCCATGTTGGAAAATAGGCTTACAGAATAGTTTGGGTTGAAGGGACCTTAAAGCTCATCCAGTTCCAAACCCCCTGCCACGGGCAGGGACACCTTCCACTAGAGCAGCTTGCTCCAAGCCCCTGTGTCCAACCTGGCCTTGAACACTGCCAGGGATGGGGCAGCCACAGCTTCTCTGGGCACCCTGTGCCAGCGCCTCAGCACCCTCACAGGGAAGAGCTTCTTTCCCAATATTTCATCTAAATACTTCTCATCCCACAACTTCCCACTTGTGTACCCACTGCTCCTGGTGACTGCCAGCTGAAGGCACACTTTACTCACCATCTGCAAACAGAGCCTGAAACTCCAGCTCAAAAAGGAGTGAGGTTCTATTCCTCACAGCCGACCAGCAGCTTCTAAACACCACAGCCCATCAGCAGGGGTGCTAAGCACATACATCCACCATTTTATCAGATGAAACTGGCTTAGAAGCTATTCCACATAGAAGGCAGGAACTGGGAACTGCAGTAGGGAGGTAGATGGCAGAAGTAAAACGGTGATGTTTAATTTAGCTGCATCTCTCCTGTGGCTTCCTGAAAACATGCCACTATTCCCCCATTTTGCAGAGATATTTCTATGGGGAATTCAAGTGGCCAAAGAGTGGAAGCTACCACGTATGATGTTCTGAATGTGAGGTGGAAGTAATGCTGAGTCAGCACACCAACAGCCATCTGTTTTAAGACACTGCCAGTCTGAGGACACTCACCTGTCTGAGCTCTCACTGATAAAAGAAATAAATAAGTTACATTTAACCCATTATTGTCATGTCACAATCAGAGCACAAGTTGGAATCTTCACAATATTTAGGAGTATATAACATGAAATGCAGAAATCCATAGAAAGCCCTCTGGAAATCTAGGCAAGCTGGTGGTCTCCAAACGTGTACTTGAGACGATGCCAGGTGAACAGGAAAATGAATCAAGACTCTGCCTCCTTCATTATTGCTTGACACAGAAGATAGGAAAGCTGGGGCAGTGGCTAACTCATACCAAAGCTAGAGGTCAACAAAAGACAAGAAGTTGTACAAGAGTGAAGTGTTGACAGCAGGCAGCAAGGCTGTCTTGGAACAAACACATTTAATAAAAGCAACACATTAAAAAAACAAACCCACAAACGTGTAAAATACTCAAGTAGTGAGCTATTTCCAAAGGAGTGACTGCAGACTAAGAGGTACCACGGGGTGGAGAACCGTCTGAGCTGCCCGCAGGAGCCTGGCTGGAGATGGCGCTGCTGCCCCACAAAAGCTGCCTCCTCCTCCTCCTCCTCTGCTGGCAGGGTTTCCAGCCGTCCTGCCCAAGAGGTCACCAGCCTTCTGTAGGAAGGGTGAAGACCTGGCTGGGCTGAGCACCTGCATGCTCCAAGCCTTCTGTAACGGGGTTAACACCCAGTTTCCAGGTCATTTCCCAAAGGAAGGTCTGAGCGCGCTGTTGTTTCCAATCTCCAGCACTAACAGGGCAGCGATTGACTCTCAGACTTTCCCAACCAGACATAAAGCAGTTGAATGATTTACCCCCTGCCAGGCTTTGCAGTACCACAGGGGTCAGCAGTTCAGAAAGCACCACCACTGCATCTTCAGAACTGTTTGGTTTCTGCTCCCAACCCTCCCGACAGCCATTAGCTCAGCCCACTGCATTTGGTGCTGCATGTCCACTGGCAATAGCCACCCTCAACACTGCACCTTTCTGCTCCGAGCAGGTCCAAATGGTGCACTGGTTAATGCTAGTCACAATGCCATAGAGGCTGAGCTACCAACCTCAACAGAAAGGTTAAGGGCAGAAACATCAAATTTAGACAAGACTTAGGAAAACCTCTATAAAAATAAGCAGGTTAAAAATTCCCTTTATATTCCCTCCATGGTGAACAGACCTGGGGGCACCTTTACCCACACGTATTGCTCTAAGTCAGCTTCAGCATACAATCCATCACCATGTACTCTGTCCAGACAGAGCATCAGCGTTGTAGAAGGTTCTTAATACAGCCAAACCGGCAGCTTTTTGGTCAGTCGCAGTAACCTGGTGTTCAGCAGCTTGGGGGCTGTTACCAGAATGGTGTAAATAAGCTATGGCTGGAGGAAGAATTACTTCGCCACATCACCCATATGTCCACAGGATCCAGTTACCACACACAAAGGAGTGTTCTGCACTCATTGGTTCTTTTCAACAGCAAGTCAGCTCACAACATGTGAACACCAAGGTATTTGGAGCCCCAGAGCTCAGCTTCAAGAACCTTTTCCACCTTTAGTACATGCTGCTGCTCCCCTCCCAGGGTCACGGTGGAAGGAAGAAGAGGCAAAAGGCAACAAGTCCCAAAGCACTTCATCGGTAAATGAGACCCAATTCCTATCTCAAAGGTTCCAGGACTGCAGACAGTTTAAAACACGTACAGGTGGTTTATGGGCCAGGAAGAGGAGTCGTTCCAGGCCTTTGAAAGCTTGATCTAGGACCAAGCAGTACGCTAGGCTCTTCAGTGTGGAAGGCAGATCCATTGCTCACAAGTCTGTGTCATTTGCAGTAATAAAAGGTTTGGGAGCTGTCAGTGCTAGCAGCCAACATTTAGCAATACACTGAAGCTGTGCTCACACACGTAGGAATAAAATCCCCTTCCCTGCCTCAGGACCAGTCCAGGGTATGTCTGGATAGGCAATAAAACCACTGGGTCCAACTACATATCAAGCAGAGAGACCACTATGAAGCCTCAGGGAGGGAGGAACGTGCAGCTTGCATCCGAGACAATGTCACAGCCAAGGTTGGGGGAAGAGGAGGAGAAAACAGACTTCAGTGTGTTACCTTTGCAAACTCAAGTTAGGGTCTTTCTTCCCTCTTCCCCCATCCCTCTGTTCCTTCTCTCCCAAGTTTCCTATGCAGAGGCTCTGCCACTGGAGAGTGTGATCAGGGGATGGTTTAAGACACAGTATCTGTGTGGCCTTTATAAAAAGGGAAAGAGACCCGTGTTCTGGAATAAGGAGTGGGAAGTCTCCTCCTGCCACGTGTCTGAGGAAAGCACAGTCATGAGGTCCGGCCCTCACTCCAGTGATGGGCAAAGACTGGCAGAGCCAGGGGAGAAACAACCTGGCTTACACCACAGGTAGAACCCACGGACGTGGTAGGAACCTGTACAGGGGAGGTTGTATTTGAAGCAAGAGTTTAAACAAAGGCTTCCTCATTGGGAGTGCCGTTGATTTTGAAGAAGAGTTTGGCATCCTCCATCTTCTGCTTTTTTTCCCTCTCTAGCCTGCGCCTGTAGCACACCAGGTAGATTGGAAGGCAGAAACCCAAGAAGCTCACACCAAGCAAGCCGACATTCACCTGCAAGGAAGGAAGACAAAACACACTCAGGCAGGCTGTGAAGACAACCCAGTCACGCGTGCCACCGTGTCAGAACCCAGCCCACATCACTCAGCTGCAGGCAAACTGGGAGCCGCCCTGCTCAGGGTATTGACAACAACCTCCACAGGATCACATTTGCACTGCTGTGGCCAGAGCACCACGGGTAGGAGTTAAATGCTGCAAGGGTTGGAGGCTCTGGATCATGGCTGCAATGGTTTTGCTCCACAGAACAGTCGACTCCTCAACAGCCCACTGGGGTGGGCACAGGGGGAGAGTCCTGGTTTCTAGGCTACAAGACCCTCCTCATGTCATGATTTTACTGAGCTGCCCAGACAGGATCTCATCAAGAAAGAATATTAGCCCTACCCTTGGCTTTTCAGACATTAGCCCTTGGCTTTTTAGGCATTAGCATCAGCAACCCCAAATTTCCTGGTAATCAGAGGTAATAGCTCACAAGGGAAAGGGTATTTCTATGGCACTAAGGTCCACACAGCTTCACCCGCTTTTACTTGACAGGTTTTGACTTGCCACACAAACTGTTAGCACAAAGCACACCTGCAGCCTTTTCACTCCCTTTCTATACCACCAGCATAAGGGTTAGTGGCTTTCCCTCCCAGGGAGTCATTACCCACACACAGGGAAGTCTCTTGGACAGCACCAAGGTAACAGCAGACTAAAATTCCAGCTGGTTTTAACCTTGGTCCATACACAGGAGTCCTTTTGTTTCCAACGGAATGAGCCCAAATCATCTTAAACACTAAGCTTTGACGTTAAGTTTGGGAAGAACTTGCCCAGAGGGGGTCTCCTTCCAAAGGTCCCGTCAATGCCATGAAAAGAGGCTGCTGCAGAAGGGCGAAGAGGGCACTGATCAACGACTGCAACCCTGTCAAGCTGCCAAACTGGGTAGAGGGGTATCTGTCAACAGAGAAAGCAGCATTATTATATGTCACCTTGACTGTTCACATCACCCCGGTCAGATTACATTCCCAGTCAACTCCACAACACAACACAGACCCCAGACATGCATAATATGAAGAACTTCTCTCCCCTGGACTTATGTATAACTACCTCTTTGTGTGGAGCGTGTAGCTGTACCCCATGGTGTGCACAGTGCCTTTCTCTCCAGACTATTCTGATCCTGAGCTCTCAAACTCGATGCTCAAGCAGCATCAGATCTAGCACTTGTTTTGTTTCCCAGCTGTACTGCAGGCAGGTGGAAGTGCTTATACAACTACTGTTGCTATTGCAAAGGGACGAGAGTGTTGACATTTACAAGCTAAAAGCAGGGCCTCTTTATCCAGATGATTGCATTTGTGGCTGAGCAATCACTGTCATCTGGTCATAACAATTTGCTCCCTGTAGAAGTGAGTGAAACCTGAACAACAGGTTGGTGGGTGTTTTCCTTTTTAGAGGACAAGTCTGGTCCTAAGTCAAACTAAACAACACTGTTGATTAGGAAGTGCTGAGTATCAGACACTGCTCATGGAAAAACAGATTTCAGGGACAGCCTAACATCCTTCTCTATCCGTGACTGAGCAGCGTTTAAAAAGGGTCAGGTTAAACTAAGCTTGGAAAGAAAGAAGTGGGTCCAAACCTTGAAATATTCAAAGAGGTCACTCTCAAAGCAAAAACACCTCAGTCCAGGAAGTTCCAGAGTTGCTTCTACACTGATCCTGTTTGACTATTGCCAGATTATACATACAGCAACAAGCATTTATCTTGCCCAAGACAAAAACACTTCTAGCTGCCAGGGAACCAAAATCATATGCATTTTTGAAGCAGAATTTAGGCTGGTTTTCTAGTCTGAATTCCTTGGACATTGGGACTAAAACCCTTGACAGAAGGGATCTGTGGAGCCTCTATCCACAGAGATATTCAAAACCCAATTGACACAGTCCTGGGCAATGTGCTGTAGCTGACCCTGCTTGGACATGAGGGTTGGAGTCAGTGGTCTCGAGAAGTCCCTTCCCACCTCAACAATATCTGAAGGATAACAGCTTCTTTCTGTTCCTCAGGACAGAGGGGCAGATCTATTCCCAAACCCCAAACCATTGCTTCATAAGGAAGAGAGTACTTAGATTCAGCTATTGATAGTTTGGTGCATTGGAAACAGGATGGATGATGGCCTGGGAAAGGGAGTAGGCATCACTAATGGGATCTTGAGCAATGCTTTACTTCAGAGCAGACCAGTAGCAATGTATTATGTTAATGTTTTACCCAGACACGTAGCTACTCATTATAAGACAAAAAAAGCCTTGGAGTTTTTACTATATAACCTTAGTGTCAACAGCCTAGTATCATACCCAAGGCCCATTTACAGCTGTTCCTGTCTCATTGCAGTAGCTGTGCCAAAGGGATTAGCTGTTTCTGAACAAGGAAAACATCAGCTAGGACTTCAGTCCAACTATTATCATAGCCAGTGGTGACTGAGGAAACAAGTTGCATCATTTTTGCCCTCTGACCACAAAGACTTCACATCCTGATCCCCCTCTCACGTGAGCAGCTTATCATCCCAAACCAGTTTACCTGGCCAGCCATGTATTGTAGGCAAGCAGAGACTTACACAGCTGCGTAGAGGCCTCCCACAGCCGAGTGGATGAATCCTCTCACAATGGTGTGCAAAATGAAGGAAAGAATCTGGGAAGAGAAGCAGAAAGATGTCACATCCTAGATCCCACCTGGTTGTACCATACCCCAGCGTAACACTCCTAAAAGCTCTTCTTTGTAGCACAAAGGTGGGCTCGAGGAACCTCAAAGATCAGCACAAGAAGTTTCTATTCCTCTCTAAAAGCTCTGCTTTTCCATACTTGACAAAGGCCAAGGTGCAGTGCCCACTGAGGCTAAGCACACACAAGACCCATCTCACTTGTAATGTCCCAGCATCCCATGGCTGGTGTCACAATCCCTCCTGCTTGCTCTCGGGGATGGTTTAGTTAATTTTCCACAGGTTATTGCAGACAACACGTAGGTATGAGCAAACTGGCTGTTTGCCTGCATCATAAAGGCACATTGAAGGATAACATCAAATCCCTAGAACTCCTCCACCAAAACCAGATGGTGCCACAAAGTAAATAGGTTTATGACCCCACGGGTACCATTGAGCACAGCATCCGATGCAGGAAGAACCTGCTGTATAGATCAGTGTCATGCTTCTGCAAGCTATCTGACCATGAGCAGCTTATATCGAGCCCTGGTTAAATGCACCCACACTGCTGGGAGGATCTTGGTAGGGAAGTATTTGTGGTGACACAGCTTGAGTGTGAATAAATGCAGCGCCAACTCTGACATTTTAACTACAGCTGCTTCTTTAGGTTCCCTCAAGGGATGTAAACTGCACGGTTCAACTCTTAACACTGGAGTTCCCCAAGGAGTATAGAAGTCTCCCAGCCCTCCTGCCTCTAGCTGGGTCTGCTGGCTCACAGGACCTCGTGGCACTGTCCTGCCTGTCACTGTGCCAGGACACACACACCCCAGCCCCTCCATCACCCCCATCCGTTTGGCCTATTCACCTGCAGGGGTAGATTGGGAATAAGACAGGTGATTCCAAATCCAACCAGGAGGACGTTTGTGAATGCAAAGGCATTGGTGGCATTGGTGATTTTCTGGATCTGACGGTCACGCTTCTTCTTTTTCTTGTCACTTCTGGAAGGACAGCAAAGCCTGTGTTACACAAAGCACGCTCAGCAGCTACTGGAACTCACAGCAACATTCTCCACGTATCCCATCAACTCTATCTAAATGGGTTTGGCTACAGGTCTGCCTAAGGAGGTGGTGGGGTCTCCACCAGTGGAAGCTGAGGAACATCTAGGCAATCATTTCAGTGCTGTTAGTCTTACTGTTTGGCTAGAAGGGAAGTCTGAACCTCCCCTTGCTATGAGTTACGTTTGCTCTTCTTGACTGATCTCAGTGGACATGGAGGGCAGTCTGGTCCTTTCCTCTGCAATTATCAAGTCTTCCTTCAGGCTCGCTTTCTATCCTGAAGAACCAACATCCTTTCCAGTCCTTCATCACCACACACATCATGCAGAGCAGAGGGGGGCCTGCTACGCGGCTGCGTGTCCCGTGTGCCGCACACTACGCACTGCTCAGCGTTGCTCTCCTCGGTCTCTTCTGAGCCATCATCGCACTCTTTCAGCCTCCAGTCCATGATGTACCCGATCACAGGCGCTGTCAGCAGGCACAGCAGTTGCAATACCCCAAAGATGGAAGTGTAGAGAGCCACTGCAGGGAAAACAAGAGAGATTTAAGGAGCTGTCAGTCCAAGTGATACCATAGCAGCAAGAGAAAAGAAACTGCTCCTCCCTACAGATCGCCTCTCATTAAGAGCCCAGACCCAATCTACTCGCCAACTACCAGGCAAGGGCTTAAGGAGACAAGGTACCAAAGCCCCATTCCATCATATAGGCTCCCAGAAGCATGACATTAGAGTGGACATACCAGGCACACTTGCTTCAACCATTCTAGTGATCCTGCATCAGCCCAACAGCAGGTAGGGCTCCAGAAACAGGATGCAGCTACTGCTTAATGCCAGTGAGGTTTATGCTGGTTCAAACCAAAAGGGAAAGTTCTTACAAGCAACACATCCTGCATTAGTCATCCCCTCTCCCGCCTCACTGGGACCTGCAGTTACATCTTCTCCAGCCAGGAAGCTCCAGCAAGAACCAGCCAGGCCATGGAGGTGAGGACTAACCCATTTGGTGCTGAATGGGCAAGTTTGGAGGCAGAGGAAGGGGAGATTAGCAGCAAAAATCCCCACAGCACCATTAAGAACTCAAACCGATGATAACTCCCCTTGTGTTAAAGACGGGAGAAGCATCTACACAGCTTCCTAAGGGAAAGCTGATGCCAGCAGACTTCGAAGAAACCATCCCCTCCCGTCACTGAACAGTTCCCCCACCCTGCAGCACTGTTTCCACTTCCTCTCCGCAGCCCATGTGATGGGTTTGGGCATCACACAGCAGCGTGGTGAGTCACTGGTGTACCACAGCTCTGGAGGAAGGACTCCGAAACTGCCCACCTCAGCACAGAGCGTTCACCAGCTTACAGCGCCGAGGAAAAACAACCAAGAATGTCAGCGTGTCCCTCCCAGTGCATTTCCAGACCTACCCAAAGAACTGGAGCCAGGATTTATACCAGAGTTATCTCAGTAATGGAGAGAAGTTTCCAATAAGCCCTTCTCTTAAGCTGCTGCAGCACAGCCCAGCAGGGCACCTGATGATACTTTCCTGGCTCCAGTTGCTGGCAAAGGAACCAAGAGGCACTTCCAACTCCAGCCTCACATTCATGCCCCCATTACCTCCTCAAAGGCAAGGCCTGAAGTGGCCCCACATCCCCATCTCATTATAGCAACTGCTGTAGCCAGGAGAGGCAGGTGGCATCACCCTCTACAAGCACTCATGGAGCTGGTTTGCTCTTGTCTGGTTATTTTTTAATAGAGGGTAAGAAGCAAGCCATGCTGTCATGCTTTGCCTCTTCATGCCATTCTGAACACTTCATCTTGGGCTCTACGCAGCAAGGGCAGAAGCCAATGTGAAGCAGGGAATGGAATCTATGGGATCAGCAAAAAAAAAAGGAGGATAGCAGCTGCTATAAAACTGGGCCGCCTCAATTTGTTTATCATCTTAAAAACCATCCTTTCCTAAGGAGAAATAAAGCAAACAATACCTAGCAGATACCACCAGAAGTAGAAGCCTGACTAGAGCAAACAAAGGGTGCACACGTGGGGACAGCCCCTTACATCCACTGTTCTACATGTCTTTCCCTCAAAGTTCTCCTAAGCAAGCACCTCATACAACCCAAGGTCTCCAAGTATTACCAGATTTGAAGCAAGGTGACACTTCAGTAAAGATGCAGCCACATTTCAGCTTCTAGATATCAGGTTTATCCTCTCCTGCCTGCCTTTTACAGGATGACTTGCAGAGCTACCAAACTTCTTTGCTTCTCCCCCATCTTTTAGGGGTTTTTACAGGCTGACTGCTCTGTCCATGTCTAGGTTTTCAACATGGTCTGAGTCACCATAACTGCTTCAAGGGCACGGTGCCCTGCTGCAGCTTAAAAGACTTCACTTTCGGAGTGATTTTCCCCACATCCTTCTCTCCTGCTCAGGAATATTGACGTTTCCTTTGACCACCACACTTGCAGGATTGACTCAACTCTCCCCTTCCCTTGCTGAATGCAACCAAGAGCAGATGCAGGTGGAGGGAGCTCTTTAAACAAACCCATGTTCAAGTAAACAACTGCAAGAAGAACAAGGAATGCTAAGGGAGCAGCATCCCACCCTCTCCTGATCCGCACAGATCACAGTCCAGAGAGCTCCACATGCCTTGGAACTGCTCTCACAGCCTGACACTGCTGCGACTGGACAATACCACTGTTTTGCTGATGCTATGGAAACACTAAGACATTGGAGTGCACTGTGAGCCCAGGCTAATGCAGGGGGAGGAGAGGGGAAAACGGGAAGAAATCTTAAAGGTGGCACAGAGAAAATGCAAGACACCCAAGGGACAATCCCTTTATTAACATGGGAACTTGACCTAAAGAGAATTGGCAGCACATATGTAAGTCGAAAATACCAAGGAGGGAAGGAGAGGAGGGGAATGAAAGAGAAATAACTAAAGCAAGCCAGGGGAAAAAGGAAAGAATCCGGGTGGAAGAGTTACAAGGTAAGCAGAAACCGAAGCAGTGTTGGGCAAGGCAGGCAGCGTGGAGTTTGTCCTGTTTACTGTTTCATGTCTCAGTGAGCTCTTGAGCCAGGAGATAAAGAGCTGAATGCTGCAGGCTGTCAAAGGCTCAAGAACCAAAGCGATTCAGGGAATGCCAAGCCACTTGGAGTTTCCCAGTTTCCATCCCTCCCCCAGAGCTCCCTCCTCTTTCCAGAGGCGTGCCTCTTGATTTATCAGCTTCATGCAATCCAGATTTAACAAGTCCAAACTGGATCTTACTACAAAGGACACACACACACACACACACACACACACACACACGGGGTGGGGGGGGGAAAGGCTAAGTCCTGTTTTGCAATCCTGGGTATTTTCAACAACAGCAAGCTAATGTATTCCTTCCCGTTTGCTCCATGTACTCAGAGCTATAAATACAAGGCCAGGGCAATGAGTGCCCCTGAGCCTCCCCAGCACACAACAAGCTGCACAAAACAGCCCTGACTTCACTTCTCCCCCCTGCAGCTGCTGGTTGAGACACCTCTAAGTCCAACCATTAGTCACTGGAGTCAGCTGCGCCGTCCTTTGTGCTTGCTTGGGATAACCAAGGCAAACACCTGATGAAATAGGCTTTCCCATGAAAACAATTATCACAGTGCAGCCCCAGAGGCTGCTTTCAACAGCCCATCTGGGGAAATAACATGGAATAGTGTTTTAACAGGCACAGGGCTAAAATTAGCTTGACATTCAAGTGTCTACCTCCCTGCCCCGCTGTCCTGGGCTAGCTCCAGCCCTCCACTAGACCCTACCAGCAGCTGTCAGCCGCACTCTGACACCACTAATGGCTACACACGGTGTATCTGCTGAGTAATCAGGCTTGCTGGCCTCTTGTAAGGACCAAGTCCAGGTCAGGTCCCACTTCCAAGGAAGCAGATCGATGTTTTCGGGTTAACCTTACCTTGATCTTTATCTCCAGACAGAAACTCAAGGATGGTGTTCATGGCTCCCATGTAGAAGATGAGCCGCAGCTGAGTGACACACATGGTGATGAGGCTGAGCAACAAGATAGGACTGAAGACACTCTTCATGAAGGAGGGAGAAGCTGCAGAAGGAATAACAGAGTCTCTGAAGAAGGCAAAAGGAAGCTTCAAACCATTCACTTCTGCCATACCACCGCGTAAGGAAGGGCTTGGTCATGATGGCAACAGTCTAAGAGACAGCAGTGACCATGCACTGTCCTCCTGCAGCCACACCAGTCACCCACGCTGTTGTCCCCACCACTGGCAACACCATATGGTACATTTAGGCAAGTATATAAGACCAGGATTCCCTATATAGCTGAACTTGTGTTTAAATACTGGTGGCTGGCACATGGCCCTGGCAACGCACACATCACCTATATCTCTTACAAACAGGTCTGGAGGCAACAGAGAGGCCAAGAGGCCTTGTGCCAACACAAGCATCCCACTCCTAGAACCACACCTGCATTGTCAGGCTGGCACTTCACTTCCAGGTCCACTGTGGACAGGCAGAGCTTGTTGTTCTCCTGCAAGGCTGTCGGCTCCTTGGGGCCCTTCATGGAGCTCCCCACGCTGAGCCGGCGCCCCACGGTCGTCACTTGCTTGTAGAACTGTTTCCCAGTGATTTTGTGGTCAAATCCCAGCCAGCTGAACTTGATTTTCACCCTGTCGGGTAGCAAAGAGCATGAGAGCTGCAACCCAGGGCAAGGAGTCAGAGGCAGTTAAAGCTGCAGGATGAAAGGCTACACGTGGATTTAATGAGCTGGTTTCCATCGACAAGCCTACAAACGGTCTGGATCCAGAGCACAGAGTTACTTCCCCAGGGCCAGTTTGGCATAGGTCAATATAGAAATACTTATGACTACTGACAGATCATTTTTCCTTCTTAATTCCTATGCTTTGGGAAGCTCCCCTTCCCACAGACATCCACCAGCCAAGACATAATGCGAATGGCAGACGTAAATCCTCAGCCTAAGAAACGGCAGCAATAAACAACATGCAAGGGAGTTCCCTGTCCAGCACTCCAAATGAGGTGTGAGAGCACTTCCTAGAGGATTAAAAATGGGATCAGCCCTCCAGGCCAGTCTAGAGGACACTTACGAATAGTCCATGTCTTCTGGTCCTGGGAAAGGCTCCAGGGGCCAGTTGAAGAAGCAGTTGAGGAAAACTAATCCTGCACAGCTTGCCCAGACCAGCAGAATGAGGATGAAGGAGACCCCAAAGTCGTATATAACCTGGAAATCACAAGGGAACATGGTTTTGGCTATAAGAGCAGGAAGATACTTCAATAGTCTTTGAATGAGGACTGAGTGGGAAAGAACATCCTACATTTAAAAAGGGTTTAACTCAAGTAGTAACAAAAGCCAGGTTTGTGACATGCAGGTTTAGGAAGAGAGGTGTATCCACATCTTTAACAGCAGCTATAGCTGGAATAACATGCATTTCTCCTTGGAACTTCTCTGCACACTTGCAGCTCACCTGTACTATATCCCCTTTTATGCTAACTCTGCAATGAAACACCTTGGTTCAGAGCCACTATTGCTCCACCAAGGCAGCCCAAGTGACCATCTCCTCTGTCCCTTCAGTGTGGTTTGCTCACTCTGTGTTCAAAGCCAACCACCATTAACAATCACACAGATTAAATACACACAGGTATTAAAAATACATCTATACATTCCTTAGAGCATAAAAAACCCAATCTTTCATAAAAAAAGATCTTCAGTTTGCCACTCATTTACCACTTTGAAACACTGTCTATTAGTAGTGTAATAGTAGTAATAGTGTCTATTATTAACAGACCCTTCTCTTTGCAGTAGTCGTTGCATTCTTGAGGCCACCTTCTAACACAGAAGGGAACTGAACCTTGCAAATGCACACCTCCAAGTGGTTTAACAAACAGCCCCTTTTTCCTTGCTGTATCATTGCTAAATGGTGCAGGATGCCAGCAAACGGCACCGGTGGCGAGTCATTATCCCACAGCCTCACCTTGATTCCTGGAAAAGTCACAGCAGAGGAAGCATAGGAGCCAATCATCAGGGCAATGAACGTGGAACGGAGGTCACCAAACATGTTGGGCAGCTGGGGAAGGAAAAGATGGGCTGAAACAGGGAAGGGAAGGAGGCTTTCTTGAGAAGATATTGGCATTTAGGATTAAGGCTCCCGGATACCACAGTCTGAAGCAGCCGGTTTTACTCCAGAATGGCTTGGCTCCTCAGGTTGCATTGATGCCTGCAGCATCAGGGAATATCGACAGTCCAAGAGTTATGGGCTTAACAGCACTGTTTCTTTCCAGACTGGCAGCATAACTTGGCATCAGTTACCTTTAGCACAGGAGCGTTTGCTCCTGCCCTTGTGCTTTAAGAGCTCCTTACCCCAAGCCCGTAGCCACCACCACCTTTCTTGGCCAGGTTCTTTTACACATCCCCCTCTTTATGGCCAAGAGCTGTTAGACACAGGGCTGTGATCGCTGCACAGCCTTCAACACACCCTGCAACTCCTTGAGCTGCCAGGTTGGTTTATGCACCCAAAGCTTTGCAGTAGACCAGAAAGTTCCTGTTGCAACAAGAAGGAGCAGAGACAAACACGAACTGTGTTGCTGTTTGAGTTTCCATCTCAAGGTAGGTTGCTGCCTCCTTCCATGAAAGGAGGCTCTCTTGTAGAGAGGGGCTCAAGCTGGTTATTTCTGCATCAGCTGCATGCCCAAGCACACTATCTAGCAGGGAGGTGCAGGAAGGCAATCATCACAAACACAATACCCACGGCTTTATTGCCTGCTGCAGGTAGGAAGCTGCTGAACTCTGCATCAAGCAGCAGGCAATAGCACCTCATGTTCCTGCCACCTCCCCACTTCAGTGCCTGAGCTCCTACCAGGTATGATGGCATTGCTGAGAGCAGCCCAGGCTGGTTCTGCAAGGATCTATTGGGAAAGCAAAGCTCTCTGTAGGCACGGCTAGAAGCAGCCCACAGCATCCAAGTCTGCCACCTCAACACCAAAAGCACTCCCAGGCTGGCTCTCCAGCTCCTGCTTCCACTCAGGACCCAAAAGCAGAGTGGAACAGGACACAAAGACCTTCCCACCCTCTTGGGAAAGGATGACCTCCCCATTTTCCCAAAGCACCGTAATTTAACCAGCTTCCATCACTAATGCTAGCCTGCAAGCTGGAGATTCCAGGGAGAAGCTCTGAAGTGGCAGGCTCAGAGCTTGGCTGCTACCTCCCGAAGCTGGTCAACACACAGAGATTCTGCTGCAGGATGACAGCAGAATCCCCTCCCACCTCCTTTTTTGGGTCACTCCATCCCCAAATTCACATGGGCATCGCTACCACGTCAGCCTCAGAGGGCCTTCAAAGCAGGACACTGCGGGAGCCTTCTAGGACTAAAGGCATAACCAGCATTTTATCTGCTTAGAGATGCTGCTGAGCAAAAATCATCCAGAGAATATTAGATGGAGCCTGAGCAAGCAAACGCTGTCATCGCATTCCCCTTCCCCGCCTGGAAAACAAATCCATCTTTCCCAGGAGCAGCATATAAGGCAAGCAAATCTGGCTTGTGTCACGGCAGGGCCGGCGTGTTTACAACGCAAGTATGCCTGTGCGGGAGCACTGGAGGATCCATCTGCCTGTTTATCATCCCTCTGTCTCACTGCAGAGCTTCCTATGCAGTGCAGTCTCCAGGTCCTCACATAACCCCCGGCCAAGGGAGCGGCACCAATGATGCTGGTGGTGAGCCCTGAGCAGAGGCAGAAAGCACTGCACTGCTCTGCAGAGAGCATCCATCCCCACACCCAGCCCCGGCTCCCTGCATGCGGGATGGCTGCCAACAGGCTGCTTTCAGGAGCTGCAGGCAGGAAACGGCGAAGGATCCAAAGGTCTGTTACCAGGCACCAAAAAAAAAGTCTCTTCTTGGAAGCAGTGGCCTAAATACACAGCCCAGCAAACAGCATCTGCAGAGCACAAGAGCTGCAGGTTACAGAAGAGCCGGTGGCTGTCGCCAGGGCAGGGCACTGATTTAACGCCAAACATCCCCAACCTAAAGCAGTCTCCAGCAATGACAGTAAACAGCAGGGAGCTGGGAGCAGGAGCTCCACAAACACAGCTGCTGCTTGGCTCGGGCTGGTTTCCCCCCGCCCCGAGATCACAGAAAGCCTTTTTCCTAACACACAGCTCCCAGGTGGATCCTCCTGCTCCGAGGGTCACTGCAGACATAGATGGGTATTAAAGCAAGCAGTGTTACCCAGCAAATCCCAAGTGTGCTAGAACAGGAGTCCTAGAAACGCTAAAGATGCCCAAAATGCTATTTTGGCACCAAGCAAGCAGCCAGATGACAAAAAAAAAAGGACATTGGAGATTTAAGGTCTTATCCAACTCAATCTAAGGGGAAACTGCCAACACCGAGCACTTGGGAGGAAAAGAAACCTGAGCCTATCTGGAGGAGGAGAGGGGAAGCAAAAGGAACAAGTCATCCATCCCTAGGCAGAAAAACAACTAGTAAACCAGCTAGTAAAATAACACACAGTATCTGCTAAGCCATGTTCTCATGCTGTCTTCACAGCAGCAAGCATGGGGCAAACCAAGCCCCAGAGCAAGGGGCCTCTTTGTCTTCCTGCCTCCAAGAGGATCTGCCCCTCATTCTGATCCTATCCCACAGCCAGAAGGGATTCCTCCTCCTCCTCCACCTTCTGCCCATTCTGGTACAACCGCCCCAACCCCACGATGACAGAAACACAAACTCCTCCTGTTTAAAGGTCAATGATACTCAATGTATTATTAACTTCATGCCCTGTCCGAAAGACAGGGACTTCATTTTGTCATGCCCTTATTACAGGCACGCAATCCTAAACTGATAAAACACTTCCTTCTTGTGGATTATTTTCTCATCTGTCCTATAATGAGTTGAAGACCTTAAATCTTCTTTTTTTAAGCAATTTTATCCACTTTTGCCTGAGGACAACCCCTCTACAAGATACCACAGCAGTATTACCAAACCCAGTTCCCCTCTTCTTGCAAGGACTGTTTGGGAGAACAGTGGAAGGAGTCGAGGGATTGAGAACTAGACTATAGGGGAACGGTGTTTTTGTCCAAGCTAAGCTTTGTTTTCCTTATCAGGGGTACATTTGGACACTAAAATGTCCTCCAGGAAAGCCTCAAGCTGCCCTCTTTGTCCAAAGCAGATGGGAATTCCTGTTCCCGTTCTCCAACGGAAAAGAACACAAAGCCCTAAGTTTTCCTACTATCTCCAAGCAGAAAACACTCCCTACACAGAGATGCTCCCCTGCTCCGACTCAAGGGTGAAGAGCAAAGCAGCTGTGATTCTCTGAGAGGAAAACAGGGCAGGGAACAATCTACCAAAGGCTCTTTGTGGTAATTTATCACACATGTTTGTTTCTCTGCATGAAATAGCTTCTGAGCAGAACCAGCACCAGATTCCTGCCTTGTCCGAGCCACCAACACGGAGCCGTTTCCATTTCCCACCCTCGCTCACATTGGTTCAGACCGAGTCACGAAGCAGAAATCTCCCCTCTGCATTTGAACAGCAGGCACAGCCTGACCTTGTTCCCAGAAGCAGGAACATCGCCGCTCCCTGGCTCTCCCTCCTCCCCACGGCACACAGCGCAGGGTACCCAGAAACAGCAGCTTGCTTTGGCTCTGCGTGTGCTTACATGATAGCCAGGGGACCTGTTAGTGAGGAAGGCTTTGAACCCAAAAGACAGAGTGGAATACTGTCCCAGCATCCCTTAAAGATCCCGTTTATCCTTTTACAGGCATTGGGGATCTCCTGCCCTGCCATCAGATCGCACCATGCCCATGCACAGCGGTATCCTGGGGAGCACCCCAACTCCTGCCTGGGGGGGCAGAGCAGCAGCTCACTCAGCAGTGGGATTGTCCCGTTTCCTGGAGCACGTCAGGACACTCGTGGCAGGCAGGAGAAGGAAGTCACCTTGCTTTGACTCCCGTGTGCACGTGGGTGCTCGGCAGCCAGTGCCTGCGGCAGCCAGAACGAGCTCACTTGGCACCACGAGCTGCTCAGTGCTCGCTGCCTCCATAGAATGAAGGTCATAGAATCATAGAACAGTTAGGGTTGGAAAGGACCTTAAGATCATCCAGTTCCAGCCCCCCTGCCATGGGCAGGGACACCTCACACTAAACCATCTCACCCAAGGCTTCGTCCAACCTGGCCTTGGGATGGAGCATTCACAACCTCCCTGGGCAACCCATTCCAGTGCCTCACCACCCTCACAGGAAAGAATTTCCTCCTTAGATCCAATCTAAACTTCCCCTGTTTAAGTTTTAACCCGTTACCCCTTGTCCTGTCACTGCAGTCCCTAATGAAGAGTCCCTCCCCAGCATCCCTATAGGCCCCCTTCAGATACTGGAAGGCTGCTATGAGGTCTCCACGCAGCCTTCTCTTCTCCAGACTGAACAGCCCCAACTTTCTCAGCCTGTCTTCATACGGGAGGTGCTCCAGTCCCTGATCATCCTCGTGGCCTCCTCTGGGCTTGTTCCAACAGTTCCATGTCTTTTTTATGTTGAGGACACCAGAACTGCACACAATGCTCCAGGTGACCTTACAAAGGTCTTTGAGGCTGCTCTTTCAGTGTTGGCTTCAGCCTTCCCTTGGTACAGGATCATCCCCATGTCCGCGTGTGGAATGGACCCACAAGAGATCCCCACATCACTGCAGGCACCACGAGCATCCCAGCTCGCAGGTAGAACCACGCAGGGACAAAACAGGAAGCTGACAGTGAGCAAAATACACCTGCATTTAACAGCCACCACCACAGCTCCGTTATGATGTGGGGGAAGAAGTGCTCCCCTCCCACTATAAGCTATTTATAATCACATTCACATGCCTCAGGTACCAAAAAGCAGCTACATCTGGATGTGAGGAGCCAGGCCTGAAGCCACCTCAGCTCTTTACAAAACACACTGCTGTTGTCCAGAGGGCACGGGCTCCACCTGAGGTCTCCCTGCAGGCACTCAGAGCATCACTGCTTACCCCAGACCTCCTCAAGGCTTGCATCTCTTCTTGGAAGATGTGACCTTTCTCCTGCTGCTGTACTTCCTTAGTGCTGTGGAACAGGCTCACTAATGACAGAGCTAATAAGTGAGTGGCTTTGCTTACTTTTCCCGGTGCTAAAAGCCACAGTACAGCACATCCAATACATCTCAGCCCTTGCCCTTCCTCCTCTCATCACCAGTGGCTCTAAAACAACCCACGACCCTTTAATAACCACTCGGAGAGACAACAGCAGCAGGGTGGGGAATCCTCTCCTCTCCTGCAGCAGCACTGATGTGCTCCTCTCCTTGCTCCCATTGGAAGCGTGGCAGGATGACGTTTGCCCCATAGTTCTTGGGAGCACGGCCAAGGCTTCCAGTGAAGAACACCCATACAGAGCAAAGCCTGACCTCTGCACGGAGCTTCGGAAGCTTGGAGCCTATGAAGGCAACAGCAGCCCCAGTACACAGTGATCTGTAAACCCAGCCTCTGCCAAACCCAGGTCTCAGGCAGTGTGGGAGCCCTGTTGAATTCAAGGTAACCTTAACAGAAGGTTTCCCTTCCATAGCAAGTTCAAGGTAATGCAATCCAAATCTGAACGGTTTCAGTCGCAGCTCAAGAAGCATCAGTGCTTTGGGAGGCTTCCCACCCAGCCCCGTTTCATCCACACTGACAAGGATCAGGGTAATGAGGTAGAAAATGAAGCAGCTGCTTGAAGGACAATAAAGCCTCTGTCTCTGAGCAGAAAGAGCTCCAAAACAGAGATCCAGCTGACAGGGGTTGACCAATGTTTGCAATGCAAGCTATGGACTAAACGGATCCAAGTGGAGCTGGGTGCGTTCAACAAGGCAGCATTTCTAAGGAAACCTGGAAGGGAATCCTGCCCTGCTTGGGAGCAAAAGCTTTTGTGCTCAAGAACAACCATTTCCCTGGGCTGAGATGCAAACTGTGCTTGCAGAAAGCTGCCTGCACCCAGCTGCAAGGGGTTGTGCCCTGCTGAGCCTTCCTGCAGCGTGTCAATGCCAAATCCAGTGCAAACACATGTCCAGGCTGTGCCAGGTAGCTGAGCACTGCATGTAGAGGTACGTGACAATGGATAACACCACTTCCTTTTCTTTCCCCATGCCTTCACCTGAGATGCAAGGTAAAAGAGGAGGACTGGGTGGAAAAGAAGCCTCGGAATAACCACTCGGCCTCACAGATAGGAGGGACTGACCCTTTGTACCAGACAAAATTACATGCTATTCAAGCCACAGGCAAGCAATCCACTTTGTTCTTTCCTGCTAGCCCAGCTCACAGCCATAGCAAGGAACAGAATGGAGTCAGGTAATAGCTCTTCACTTACCGTAAGCGATGTGAAGGTCATACACATCCCCCCAAAGCCATTCAGAGCCAGCGCAATGAATATCAGCACAGACAGAGCTGCAACAATAAAAAGCCACCTTTAGCTTTCACTGGGGCGAAGAGGAGGGCCCTGAGGGCTTTGGTCCTGACACCTGAACACCTCAGTGGGCCCTCAGGATGTGCCACACTGTCCCTGACCCAGCACCATCTCCCCAGGCACGCAAAGGAGGGCCAGGGCTCTCCTCCAAGAGAGAGCTCAGGCTGGGCTCATCCCTCCAGGATGGAAGGGTTTGGTTTCTCTAATGAACACACTTGCTGAGGCAGCTTGTCTTAATGGGTCTTAAAAGGAAGATTTACTTGAAAGAAGTGTCATTCAAACAGCCATCTCGCTATCTGGTCCTGGGGAGCCAAGGCTCCCTGCATCCCTGGCCAGAAACCCGATCACACAGCGCTATTACCCATTACCCATTGCTATCACTCATTTCCCAACCCTGAGAAAGCCATGAACTCGTTTGGAATTGCTCTTTTCACAGGACCCAGCCCTGCCCAGATGCAGAGCTGAGGGGCCTGGCTATCGCAGACACTTGGCCCTTGCTACACTCTCTGTTTAGCATTGTGAAACACCAGAGCCACTCAGCTCCCGTGGGGCAGCAGATGCTTCGCCGCGTCCTCAGCAGGACCCCGGTGCAGCACCGGGGATGTGCCAGCGGGAGCACGCAGTGCCATGTGTGCCCTCTGCTTCCACCCCCTAGACAGCCCCAAAGCCGCAGCCCCACATTGCCCCCCAGCTCAGAGGGGGAATTCCTACTTACAGTCCGGGTTACTGGCTCCATAGGCGATCAGCACACAGGACACGGCAAAGCAGGCACTGAAAGGGAACCAAACCCATGAGTTTCTTATAGCCAGCCTTCTACACAGTAAATCACATAGGCTTCTACCTCCTGAGCCCCTTAAGCAAGCACAGAGTCAGTCCTGTAAGAGGAAGGGAAGAAAACCCCAAGGGAATACCCAGATATCACAAGCAAACCTTGCACAAGGACTGAGGAAACAGCCTCTCCTCCCAGTACTGAGGCAGCTCTTGCTGGACCCAAATTCCCCACTGGTTTTCCAGCACACAGCTTTGCCAATCCTCATAAAGAGGTGACCAAAGACCTTGGTCCTGAGACCCAGCTGCGGTCACAGCACTCAGAGCCTATTCACTAGCTCTCTTGGGTAAGGGTTCAAACTGAAACAGGGGAAGTTTAGATTGGATCTAAGGAGGAAATTCTTTCCTGTGAGGGTGCTGAGGCACTGGAATGGGTTGCCCAGGGAGGTTGTGAATGCTCCATCCCTGGCAGTGTTCAAGGCCAGGTTGGACAAAGCCTTGGGTGAGATGGTTTAGTGTGAGGTGTCCCTGCCCATGGCAGGGGGTTGGAACTGGATGATCTTAAGGTCCTTTCCAACCCAAACCAGTCTGGTCCTATGATTCTAAGGTGTGAATCAGAGACTTGCCCTGTTCTCCCCCCTCTGCCTCCAGACCAGCTCAGCTTCTGGTAGCGTTTTAGTGCACTCAGACTCAGCAGCGCTGGGGTCCACTGTGCCCAACAAGTCCCTCATCCCTCCCCACCGTGGAAACAGCCAGCAGCTCTGCTATTCGAGGCAGAAAACAAGGCAGAGAGGGCCTTGAGCAGACAGGCAGGACATGTTTATCCCCAAGTTAACTCCCCGGCTTGCAAGCAGTGATGTAACATCTTGGTTTGGTGCCTCCCAGGACATAGCTCCCAGCTCAAGGAAAAAAGCCACCCTCCGTGAGTCACAAATGACTCCGCTCTTCCTCCAGGCTCCATATGGCCGGGGAACACAGAGCAACACTGCAGAGCTGAAGTGGGGACACACAGTCCTGAGCCCTTCCCTGATGGAGCAACTCACTGCACCGGCCAAAATCCAGCGTCCTGTGCACGGCCAGCAGCTCCCAGCCCCATCCCTCGGGATGCAGGGACCCACAACAGGCACAGCACCCACCCACCCCACACAACGCACGCATTCACCCCTCAGCCCACTGGGGAGCCCAGGACACCGACCTGCCGAGCAGCCGGAGCTTGCGAGGTCCATACTTATCCATGACAATTCCCAGCGGGAGCGTGATGGCACTGAGCAGGAAGGACCCAATGGTGAAGGCCAAGTTGAGCATCTCATCCTGGGCATTGCAGGAGGGCCATTTGTGCTCGGAATCCGTGCTGTTCTCCTGGGCAGGGCTGCTGGTGGTGTTTGCTGCATGGGATAGCAGAGGATCCTTATTACAGGGTTAGGGTGAGGCTTGCAGTGATGCAGGAAGGAAAAGAAAAGCCCCGTATTCAGGTGCCCCAACACCCTGGGAATACTCCCTTTGCACTCTGTATTCATTATAACTAGTGAGAAATGGAGAAGGGAAAGAACAGCAGGGAAGGGGAAACCAGTTGGGAGCAGGAAAAGCACACACGGGTACCCAGGGCACACGTATCCCAAGCAACAACAGGGTGACAACCTAAGGACAGAGATTCACTATGAGAACAGCTATAGGGCAAGGCCCTGGGAATTACAGGGACTAAACCCAGAACCCAAAGGGACTAATACAGAAATAAGGACCTCCTGTTCTACACCCAGCATGTTCTCAGAGCTCCTTCCCCTAACCAAACCAGGCACAATACCCACAGCTAAGGCAGTTATATATAGCCAGACACGGAGTTGACAAGGCCTGGCACAGAGCAGCAGCCTGCTCAAATGAAAAGCTTCCTACCCTCACTGCAGGCACGGGGATGAGGGATGGCTTTGCAGCAGCCACCCCGCTTCCCGACTGCTCTGGCTCCGAAACCTCCTTCCTGGCTTTCATACCCTGCTCCCAGGAGGGCTGGCAGCTCACCTGCCTTCTGTTCGCCACACGACTGAGGCATCTTTAACTTCTGCCCCATTTCCCATCCTTTCCCAGTGGGTTTGGGCCATACGGATCAACTCCATCTCCAGCTTTCAGCTCTCGCCCTCCCATGAGGAACTCCGCAAGCTCCCACGCTGAACAGAGCCACGTTGTGTAACAGAGGCAGGAACGGGACAGTTGAAAAACAGAGGAAGAAAGCACAAGTTCCCTTTTCTCTGCAGCAGCACTTTTAATGCCTCCTGTTAGCTCCGCTCCTGTTACAAGCCTGTCCCGAGGTGCTTTACAACCCCACGCCGGCACAGGCGCCTTTAGGCTTTCATTAAGCCCATTGCACTCCACCTCTCCTCCTCCCAGTGCTTATCTGCCTTTGGAGCCTGGGCTGCTATGACAAAGCACTTGCTTTCCTACCGCTGCCACAAGCCAGCAACGTAAAACTGCTCCCTATTTAATAATGGATCGGATGGAGTTCAATATTAAAGGAGGAACAGAGAGAAGTGGCTTACATCCACACGGAGCAGCACCAGAGAATCCCAGTGAGCCCTGGTTAGCGTTAACTAAGTAGGAATCCCCCACGTACAAGTGGCTTCATGTTCACTGCTTGGAGCATCTGTGGAGGAGATCCCCTTGGCTGCTCATGCCCCCCCATTGAGATCACACAGCCCCATCCGCTCCTCCTTCCCTTCTACCCCATCCTTGGCATCACACGTCACTGGTTCCACCTTGGCTCTCCCAGCTGCTCCAAAGAACCCTCCCAGCTTTGTGTCCATTGCAAACAATCCCCGCTCCACCTTCCTTCATCAGGGATTAGCAGGAATTGGAGGCTGTCCTGCAAACCTCCCTCTGTCCCCTCCCAGCGCTGCAGGGAAGGCACGTGGCACTTCTCTCCATTGACATGGCTTGGAGCAAGCTGCTCTAGTGGAAGGTGTCCCTGCCTCTGCAAGGGCTTGGAACAGGATGAGCTTTCAGGTCCTATCCAGCCCAAACCATTCCATGATTCCCTTGCCCTGTCCAGAGTAAGCAACAGATATCCCACGTGTTCCCTCAGCATCCCAGAGCTCCAGCCTGAGGTTCCCACCTCACATCCTCACCGATCAGCCCTGGGCAGACATGGGAGGCTCTCTGCAGCTTTCCCACTACGTCTCCATCCGTTTCATCCAGCTTTCCCTCACAATCTCCTCTTGGTGCTGCTCAGGATCTTAAACACCAACTCGTGATTAAACACCCGTCTCCACGAGGCAAGCACAGGCACACAGCTTCGCCCACAGCATCCAGGCTGCTGGGGCTCCCCACGAAGGTAAAACCCATAGGGAACAGATGTGGGAGAGAGGTTAAACTTGGGAAAACAAGGAGTTGGGGTGAAACAGTGACAAAGGAGTTGTGGTTTCCCTGTGTCAGCACTCAGCTCAGCTGCGGAGTGGAAGGAGGATGGAGGGATGGGGACAGTGCAATGACCTTTAGCTTCTGGCTGCGTGTGTTAAGGAGCCCGTCAGCCCTCCCCATAGAGACCTCAGAGCAGAAGCAGTCAGCATTTAAAGCCTGGACAGATGAATTCCTGTTCATGCACTGATGTCTACAGTTACAACATGACCCCAAGGAGCTCCCATAGCATCCTCCTGCTGCAGACCCTCCCGTGGCATGCACGATGAGCAGCAGTACCAGGAGGCAAAGAGGACACACTGAGGGGGACTCAGACCTTCCTAAAGGCTTCCTGCAGCCAGGAAAACTGGGAACAGGGCCCCCGGACCGCAGCCCCTGCTTGTACCAAGCACCTTGTTCACAGCCAGCTCCGAGGAGGGGCCAGGCCACTGCGCTGTGTGGAAGTACAAACGGCTTGTGAAAATAGAAGCAGCCCCTGAGCAACAAGGGAAGATCCAGCGAGAGGCAATGGAACCGATTCAAGCAGCCCTTGGCACCCTGACACCCCTTGATCCATCGCCACAAATAGAAACACATTGGAGGGGCTGCGGGAGCACGCACCGGGTCCAGCCAAGAGCCACCTCACTGCGGAGCGCAGGCTTCACGCGCCGGCGGCTCAGCGGCACACGGCATGCACCTAGGAGGAGATTAATGGGCAGAGAACCTGCCTAACTGCTCACCTCCCTAACGCACCCGGGCACAGCAAACAGCACTTCCCCGCAATCACTGCTCCGGATCAGTGCACTCCACGCACTGACAGCGATGCCACCCCCAAAGCCAAGTCCACCTGCGTGCACGGGCGCCGGGGCCGCCACGCAGCAGAGCCACCCATGCGTGCTCACTGCTGGCTGCCCGAAGCTGGAAGCAGCTCCAAGTCTTTATTGGCAATTACAAGAACATCCTGGCTGGTTTTACACCGCTTCCCCCCCCCCCCCCTCCACCAAGCAGCAGGATTTCTACTGCCCAATTAGTAGTTCAAGTTACTATTTAAAGAATGACAGCTCCGGCTGCCTTGGTAATCTTTTATGTCAAGCTCGGCGCTGGGATTTGTTCAGCCTCTTACTGGAACATTTAAAGTCACCCTTTCTCCCCAAATTAAGTGCTGTAGGTTCCACAAGAGGGTCAATCATTAACTGCTCTTTACCGACCTCTTCCAATCCCAAGCGCACAGCAGAGGAATGCGCCCGGCTCTTTCCAGCACTGCCTCCTTGTCTCATGGATCACACTGAAACAGGAGGACCCCCCCAGCCACCCAACGGCCCTGTGGGGCACAGCCACAACCCTCCCCTTTGACTGTTAAAGGGGGCAGAGAAATAAATCGGGGCCAAACAGACTGGGAGCATTGGTTGAAATGAAGTCCCAGGGAAGGATGTGTACAGACGACTGCTCAGCAGCCTGCCCACATAGGAACATGTTTTCCCCTCTCAGGATGGTGTCATACTTCTGGGAACTGGGAGGAGATGTTCTTGCTTTATACGCGATGCGTTGGGGTGTCCTTCCCTGCCCGGCACCTCCACAATGCCCCTCTCTTTGCACTCAGATGAAAGCCTCTATAACAGAGCTGAACTCGGTTAAACTCCCCTTCTCTCCCCAGCTGTGGTTTCATTTTGCAGCTTCAAGAGCACCGAAAGCTGCTGCTCAACGCAGCGTGTTTCCTGCACAAGGAGCATCTACCGCCTTCGCTCTCTTCCTGTTGACAGGGCCACAGGCACAGCCTGCCCCTGCATCTTGACAGCTTGGAAGGGACCTTCAAACCTCGAGCTCTCCGCCACAGAGCACATACATAACAGCGAAGAGCCGTAAGGCAGCACCTATGCCCACGGTCAGGCACACTGCCCTGCTGTAAGTGAATTAGCTTATCATCCCTTGGGTTTGCTGCAGCCCTGGCTCAGAGGAAGGTCCTCTGTTCAAGCAGCTCCTTATCTCTGCTCTGTGTGAGCAGGTTCAAGATTGCTTTTTTAAACATCTCAAAGCCAAGCCTCCAGCCCCTTAATCCCAAGCACAGCACAAAGCCACGACCAGATCAAGCTCCCCAGCAGCCGATAAGGCCCAAATCCCGATAAAGACTGCGGAATCAGCGCTTCCACCAAGGAAAAGATGCTGCTTCAGGCGGTTAAAGGCCAAGCCGTAGCGTAGTAAAGTTAAAAGGCGAACAAAGTGCCACGGACAGCCTCTTTGTCAGCAGATTTCAAGCATACCTCTTGGGATGGGATGTGGTCAAACCTGCCACCGGAGCCGGGACAACCCCTCCCAAGCACAACTGCTTTAAGGGGACGTGGTGTCTGGATGTGCATTTCCATCTCACGGCAGCGTTAAGGGCTTGGCAGAGCCCGCGTGTTTGCACATTGGCCGAGCGAAGCCCAACAGGAGCCAAGGGCAGGCAGGGGAAAGGGGAGATTCAAGAGGAAGACAAGGAGCCCTTCATGGATGGCAGTCGCTTTCTGCTACCTTCACAGAGGAGCCTGCAGAAGGGACAAGGTCTGCGTTTCACTGGAAGGCATCACAAAGTGCAAGAGCTTTTGCTGACGAATGGAAAGCCCGGCCAAGAACCTTTGGCTCAATAGGAAAAGTCTCTTTTCTTCTTCTTCTTCTTGTGGTCGTTGCAGTTCTTGCATGCACAACAGGATCAGCAACAAGTGCCCAAAGGCAAGCGGTTATAATGTGCTTGCACCGAGCTTCACGCCGAGGCTGCGGGGTGCCATGGGTTACACGAAGAGAGGCAACCGCTCATCCCAGCCAAGGTCGAATTCAGCTTGGTGCTGATCATTCAATGAGCACTGCGGGGCGGCTGCATCCCCCACGCAGGGAGCCAGGGCTCTTCCCAACCGAGTTTATGACACAAACAGAGGAAGGGAAGGGAATAAGTAGGGATAAAGGAGGAAACCGGTGTAACTGGTCCTCCATGCTCCTCACCAGCCTCATCACCAGCAGCATGCCCACATATTTGAGGACAATGAGAACATTTGGCTGCATCGGTTTCTCTACAGGGGCTCCATTCTCTTGCCTCAGGGCACAGCTTGGTCCCTGGGAGGAAGGAATTGCCCCCCTAGGGCTGCAATTTCACCATAGGCCAAACATCTGCATTATCCCTGTGGTTCCGTAGCACTCCTGTGGGGGAGAGCCATTGGCAAAGAGGGGTGAGGAGCAGAGGTGAATCTTGATTTGGGGCCAAGGTAGACGAGTTGAAAGCCATCAAAGCAAAGGGTAGGAGGTGGGCCCCAAGGGAAGCAGGGCTCATGTCAGGAAGCAGATAGGAAAAGGGTTGCTTTAGGAGACAGTCAGCGTTTGCTTATCAACCCTTGTGTGCCTTATCTGGGAGGCAGAAAGCCTCTGCCTGATAGGTTTAATGGGATCTCTTCCACAGGCTCAGGACACAGTCACTGTGGCTTGCAGATAACAAGCCCTACCAAACAGTCTCCAGGGTTGAGGACTCCTCCTCACCACCCCAGTGACGTGCACACTGTGAGCAGAGCACAGGATGGAGATCAAGCAGCCAAGCTGGTGGAGGACTCGAGCACTTCCATGTCTACCAAGTGCACCAGCATCTCACTGCGTTTCACACTTCCCCCTCTATCCTCAGCCATTGCCCACTGAGGGTCCATGCACTTATTTCCAACCCCTTTTCTTCCCCTTATGCTTCCTCCTCCATCCCCATGCTCACCATGGGCCGATCCACCATCACACAGCCCAGACACCTACCTCCTGCCTCCCTTCTCTTTGCTATTCCCTTCCCTGTGCACATGCAAACCTTTGTCACCGAAGCAGCTTTCCAAACCCACACCACACCTTTACCCTCAGGTTGCTTTTAACCCCACTGTGGGACACCCCTGCCCACAATCCTCTCCCTGCTCCGGCTGGGATACCCATCCACCTACACGCTGGTGTTCCCAGGGTTATCCTTCCCACACCACAGGATCGCCTCCTTCCTGGCAAGGATGTGGCTGCTACACAGACAACTGCTTCCTCTGCTGGGGCCAGAAGGTGGATCTCAAGCCCTCAGAGACACAACCTGGTTTAAGCACATCCTGGGTGTTTGAAGAGGGAAAGGAACAAAGCATCAACAGCATTTACTTCTGCAGCGTCTCCCCCAACAGCAGCACTGGGCTCCCCTAATCCTACGGTCACCCATGCTCTTTTCCTACCACTAAGGAGAGAACACCTATAGTTTCCTTCTACAAACTCAGAACACCCTCCCCACAAGTCATCATCTTCCAGATGCAGAGGAAGACCCCATGGCCAAGTGGGAAAGGCTGTCAGAAAAGCCTTTACCTGATCTGTAAGGCTTCTTTTCCAATCACTCTGCAAAGCAACCACAAGGACAGGCGCATCACAAGGATGCCATTGGCTTTAGGAAGGAGCACACATCCCTTCCTTCTGCCCCAGGGCAAACCTGGAGCTCAGCCCTGCTCCAGTCAATCCCACAGCACCAAACCTCATCAGCACCTTACTCACATGAGTCTCCAGAGCATCCTTACCCGACTCGTAGCACAGGTAGGAATAAAACCCTTCTGCTTTCAGCATGATGAGGAGGGAGCCCCAGCCCAGCAGGACAGCAGAGAAGAGCAGGCTCTCAATGATGGCTGTGGATGCCATCCACCAGCGCCGGCGATGGGCCGTAGCCAGTGTGGGTGCCATGGCTGGGTGGGATGATGGCCTCGATCAGTCCTAACCTGCAGGGACCAGAACAACACCCATCATCCACTGCTCAAAGAGTGCAAACCAGCCCCGGTTAAGAGATCTCCCCAGTGGAACACAAGCAAACCTGCCTGTGAATACAAGGCACTCAGGTGTCAAACTCGTTCTTGCAGGTACCAGCCTGCCCAAGTGACCTGGAGGGATGCGGGAGCACCGATGCCCTTGGAGCAGCCCCTCTGGTGCACACAGGGTGACAGAGGAGCCTTCAAGGACTCCGTTCCACCTCCTGAACACCAGGTATGGAAATGGAGCAAGGATCAACTGCCCGGAGCCCACCGCCCATCGCCTGCCCGGGGTGAGCAGCCCATTGTAAGGCATTAATGAATCAATGCCAGAGCAGGGGGCTTCAATCTCATGTCTGCTTAAGGGAGAGGCTGGGATCCCCACAGCACTTTAGTGACCCACCAGGTCTGCTCTGCCCCATGCAGGCGCACAGAGCTGCTCTGGAAGGTGAGCATGGGGTCTTATATAGGATCAGAACCAACCAGGTTGGAAAACACCTTTAAGATCAAGTCCAGCATTACTGTGGCTGCCCCATCCCTGGCAGTGCTCAAGGCCAGGTTGGACACAGGGGCTTGGAGCAAGCTGCTCTAGTGGAAGGTGTCCCTGCCCGTGGCAGGGATTGGAACTGGATGAGCTTTAAGGTCCCTTCAACCTAAACCATGGCTCTATGGTTACCCCAGGGCTGGCAAGTCCACCACTAAACCTGTACTATCAGTCCTATAAATGCAGTTTATATACAATTATGCATATACTGTACCCAAGATGGCTCATCAAGGAGCCGTTTTTGCTAACTACCAGACCACCCATCCAGGGGCCAAGGCTGCACCAGCCTGCCCCATCCCATCCCACACTGCTCCACCTCGGCACACTGACATGCCCTACGGATGCTGCAGTGGGATGAACTGTCCCAGCTCCCAGCCCCAGTTCCTAGGGCCCATAAGGATGATTTGGGACCAGACCAGGGGCTGCTCTGGAGAGCCTCGAGATGCAGCAGCCCCAGGGCTATGAGGCAAGTGGCCATTTTAGACAAGCTGAGCCGCTTCCCAGCCCAGAGCATGCACTAAGGGGAAACCCAACTGGTGCCACACAGCCTAAAGCAGCTCCTCAGGGCTTTCCACAGCACAGAGGCCCCAGCCCTGGTTGCTTTGGGTAGGGGAGGACACAGGCTCCCCCTCCAGCCATAAAGCCCCCCCCCGGCTCATTTCCTCCTCTTCCTCACCTCTGCTCCTATAGCCCCATCCCCATACCAACCCCGGTGCACCCAGACCCCCCCTTCTCTCCCAGTCACCCCACACCCCCCCCCCCCACTCTCCCAAACGAGCCCTGCTGCATCCTGCCCCCAGCCCCAATTCACCCCGCTCCCACCCCACCGATCGCTCCCATGCACCCGCCCCGTCCCCATCCACCCGCTCCTCCTCCGATTCACGCCATTCCCACCCGCGCACGCCCCCGCTGCACCCCGGAACACCCCATTCCCCCCCATCAACCCCCGCAGGCCTCCTCCTCATGCAGCCCCACGGGGCAGCCCCATAGGAGCCCCGCTGCTCCCCGCTCGCCGCCGCTCACCCTCGGCCGCCCCCCGACTCCGCTCCGCGCCGCCGCGGTCCCACCCCGGGCTTTTTATCCGTCCTGCGGAGCAAACAGCCACCGCCGCTGATTGGTCCGTGGCCAGCCAATGGGTGAGCGCGCCGATGCTGCCCGTGCCAGTGGCGCGCCCCCCGGTACCCCCTATAGCACCCCGGTACCCCCCTATAGCCCCTTCATACCCCCCATATAACCCTCCATACCCCCCATATAACCCTCCATATCCCCCCTATAACCTTCCGCGACCCCCCTATAGCCCCTCATACACCCCATATAACCCTCCAATATCCCCCTATAACCCTCCATATACGCCCTATAGCCTTCTGGTACGCCCCTATAACCCTTCATACCTCCCCTATATAACTCTCTGATACCCCCCCTATAACCCTCCATATCCCCCCCTAACCTTTCAGTACCCCCTATAGCCCTTCATACCCCCCCATATAACTCTCTGATACCCCCTATAACCCTCCATATCCCCCCTACAACCTTTCAGTACCCCCCTATAGCCCTTCATACCCCCCATATAACCCTCTAGATACCCCCCTATAGCTCTTCATACCCCCCCATAGAACCCTCTGATACCCCCCTAGAACCCTCCATATCCTCCCCATAACCCCCCGGTACCCTTCGGTATCCCCCTATAGTCACCCGCTACCGCCCTATAACCCCCCCGCTATCCCCTTCCCTCGCTGCCCCCGGCCTCTCCTAACACATCCACACACCCCAACGTTGTACCCGTTGTTTCCGACACCCGAGCACCGCCGGGACAGACACCCCCGGGGGGGGGGGGGGGGGGGGGGGAAGCGGACCCTTGGCTTAAAAACGGGGGAAACGGGTCAAAACGGGAGGTGACGGTGGAGCGGGATGGGCTGGAGCCCCACCGCCCGCCCATCTCCGCCTCCCGGCTCGGCGGGGAGGTCCCTGCGGGCTTTCGTACCGGCTCTTGCCGGTCTCGACCGGCTCCTGCTCGTACGGAGCGCAAGGAGCTATTCCGGTAGCAGCAGCACCCGCTGCTGTCTCATCCGCAGCGGTTACAGGCACCCTAAAAAGCCCGTTTTGGGACCCAGCACCAAGCCCGGGGCTGACCGGGACTGGGGGTAAGGAGCCTGGAACCCGCCGGCCCCCAGCACCAGCTATTCCATTAAATAAATCAGATCACTGCAGTGCGAGAGCTCTTTGCATCCGAGCTCAGAGCCCTGCCCTCTCCTTACACCAAATTAGCTCCCAGAGCATTCCTTTGTGGGATTTCCAGTCCTGCCGTAAACCCATCACTCATCAGCCGGGCCCCGGGCCAGAGGAGGTGGACAAATATCCCTGGAAATCATGCGAAGGGAAGTTTTCCCAGCCAGAGGAGGTGGAAACGGGGCCTGGCGCAGGTAAACACCTCCCAGACGGACACCGGACACGCTCCCGCTGCTGCATCCCTGAGGAAGGGGCAGGCAGGGGCGGCTGGGAAGAGGAAACTCCTCAGGCTTGGCTGTGGGATGAGGGTCAGAGCCTCGCAATGGCTGGGAAGTGGATTTAAGCCAAAGCAAAGAAACAAACAAAAACAAAGCCCAAAGGAAACAAGGAGCCTGGAGCTGGGCATGGGGTTGAGCAGACGGGGAGGGAGCCCCCCGGGAGAGCTCAGCACCCAGCTCTGCATCCAAGAAACATGGACGGTGATGGGAAGGAGCACGAGGAGGGCGCAGGGGCTGTCTGGGGACACGGGAACCCTTTGGTACAGCGGGAGCATATTGGGGGGGGGGGTTGGTTTTCCTCTCCTAGAAGGAGCAAAGGAGCTATCAGATGATCTGTTGCCAGCTATAAATACACCCGGGGCCTGAGTAAACACCATGGAGAGAAGAAAAACAAAGTGGAGCTGAAGAACAGCGTTGACACAGAGAGACATTTATAGAAAGCAGCCAGGAATCAGTTTAGGCTGGATGGGAGCTGACGGCTCCTGCCCGGCCACCCAGGGAGGCTCCCATGTGGTCCTCTCCTAAAGCAGAGCTCAGGCAGTTCGGAAGGAGATGATGAGGCTGCGGTGATGGGGACAGATCCCCGTGGCCATTAGGGATGGCTTGAGGCTGCTCCTACCTCCGCAAGGCACGGACACCTCTTTGCTTGTGGATAGAAGGAACAGCTTCCCGGGGGCTGGCTTCAGTGGGATTCAGCCATCGATCCAGCACGGGAAGATGTTAACTCCTCCCTCACCCACCAGCCCTGACTTGCAGCCTTCCCTCACCCAGCATTCAAACCACATCAGGAAGCATCCCCAGGGAGAAGACACCAGCCCCACGCCGCAAATCCACCTCTCCCCATCTTCAAGCAGGGGCCACATCCTGCTTAGCACTGAGCCCCTGGGACGTGACGGCAGCGTTTTCTCAAGGCCGGGTGCTTGTTTCCATGTCAGAGAAGGCCGTTGTCAGCTCTTCACATGCTGTACCCGGGGGGAACCAGCTCGTGTGACGTTCCCTTCTGGCACAGCATCACTCTGCTCCCAGGCTGGAAATAGGATCAGGGCAGGAAAAACGGCTGCTTATAAGTAACATGTGGGGCTGTCCCTGCCCCTGTCGTATCATAGCGTCAAAACAGAGCGGGGCTGTGGGCAGGAGGGTGCGCGGGTCCAGGATGAGCGGGTTTATTCCTATACCACAATATTTGGTGCTGTAATGACAGCAGTGCGTGATGGCACTGCAGGAACGAGTGCTGCACCCTGCTGCTCATCCCCGCGAGAGCACGGGGATGCATCCATGAAAAGCATCCATGAGAAGCAACGGGGAAAAAGCAAACCCCACTGATGCTGAAACGCCCCAAACCCCAACTCAGCAGCATCAGAGCAGGGCTCACACAGAGCTCTGCACATGATGTGAGATACAGGCTGCAGGGTAGGTGCTCTGGATGCTCCGGTCTCCAGCACTGCTCTGGGTTCAGCTCTGTAAGTGAGACTTCAGAATTCAATAGAAACAGGACATTAGCAAACCCAGCAAACTGAAAGCTTCAGGCTATTGATGGTTTCTACACTTTAGAGAGTATTTCTTAGGGGTGGATGGGAAACCCAACTCCTTAAGGGCTTTGGTAACGTTTAATTTTCATCTAGAGGCTTCCACACCATGTGAGTAACAGAACGGACAAGAAACTTCTGGACTTAGATACATCTAAAACCAGTTCATGCTGCAAACCCTCTCTGGCATCTTGACCCCCCTTGTGCCCATCTCTCTGTGCTGCCTGAGCTCCTCTGGCCATGCTGGAGATGCTACAGCCCCTCCATCCCACCTCACGCACCCATGGTGAGGAGACGGCACCCGTGGCGATGTAATTTTCCATGCATGTCATGTCATGTCATGTCATGTCATGTCCTTATCAGCGCCATGTGCAAGGACAGGTCGATGGCCATGGCCCAGGTGCCACAGCTGCTCTTGCAAAACTGGAACTGGAGCCTGGTATTGCATGGAGTTTAAAAGGCCATTGATAAACTCCGTGCCACGCTGCGAGCCTTGTCATGTGCTATGCATGTACATAGGAATGAAGGCAGTCAGAGAGACCCACATAAACCCCTGCAGACCCAGACACCCTTCGAGATAAGCAGCTATAATCAGCTCTCACTGAAGCTGCTTGTCACAGCCCATCACCTACCCCCGGCCCCTCTCCACAACATAATCCCTCCCAGCAAGAGAAGCATCTTTACAGCAAGAGGCTCCAGGCAGCTTTATGGAGCTGGGAGAGGGAAAGGTGGAAGCCAGTGGGGTGAAACTGGTTTTTACCTGTGTGCAACCCCCAGCAGCCCCACTGTCATTCATGAGGAAGATGCGTGCCCCCCAAACCCAATGCTGATAGAGACTAGAAGGTGCCACTGCCGCATCCAGAGCATCGCTGTGTTGTGGCAGGTCCAAAGTGAAGCACACAGGACAGGGGGGAGCAGGAAACAGCCCTGAAGCACCAACCCATGGGGCTGCCATTGCTGTGGCTCTCGGCATCACCATCACCCATCACACATCACCCATCATCGCATCACATCACCCATCATACATCACCCATCATCGCATCACATCACCCATCACACATCACCCATCATCGCATCACATCACCCTTCAAGGGTCCACCCCAGCAACAGGAAAGGGATCAATGGGAATGCTCAATGCTTCTCCAGTTCAAGCTCGGAGGGGGCCCTCAGCTCCCACACTGGGCTCAGAGATGCCACCAGCGCAGGCAGCGGTGGCTCAGGTGGCCGCAGGGGTGGCCGCTGGCCCCTCGGTGATGCTGGGGGGTGAATCAGTGCCGCTGCTCATCACGTTCTCATACTTGGGCTCTTCCTCTGATGCAGCAAATCCCTTTGCTTCGAGGCTGAGGACTAACTCAGGGCTTTTACTCCTCTCCGTGGCACCTGCAGCATCGCAGCCTCCGTCCTGGTCCCCGATGCTCTTCAGTGAGGGAGATGCCAGAAGGAAGGACTTTCTCTTCCCAGGCTGATGCTTGCTGCTTGCCTCAGCGGCAGCCCCAGGGATGCTCTCCCTCTGCTTGCAGCTATTCACCGAGTCTCTGCGCTGCCCCAGGGCCCGGCGGGGTGGTTTCTGGATGACCTCAAAGCTCTTCCTCACCTTGGGCTCCTCCTTGGCAGCCCATTTGCCCCTCTGCAAGCTGCCCAACCGCTTCAGCACCGCCTGGACCGGGCCCTCGCCACCTCCCTCTGCCTTGGGGTCCTGCCCGCCCGTTCCCACCGTCACGTAGATGGTGGTGACGTTGGGCTCCTTCCCCTTCGCCTCCCAGCTTCCTGACCTCGCAGCCGCTTCGAGGGCCTCCACTCTCTGTGCCACGTGCCTGGTGCTGGACACCACGCGCCGGCGTCCTCCTGGGGTGGCCCTTGGGGATGGCCGGTGGCTTTCGTCCCCCTTGCCGATGGGATCAGGGCTCTCGTAGCAATCACTGCCCGGTCGCTCAGTGCAGGGCTCAGGTTCCTTGTCCCCAGGGGGTTGGGACAGCTTGGGTGGGCCCCATGGGGCCTTGGGCTTCCTCCCAGGGCTGGGGGTCTCCATCATCCCAAATTTGGTCCCCTCGGCAAAGGATACAGAGGGGCGCTTGGCCTTGGCG